TCTTTCCCTTTGTGTTTCTTCATCGTTGTGCTACTGCCATTCTCTTCATTTTCCCCCTTGATTTTTGAAAACACAAAACTTGGTGAAATATAAATCAAAAGCAGAAAGAGAAGGAGGTCCTGGAAATTCAGGTCCTTTTGGTGTGATTCTTAGCATGATTCTTGAGCCCTTGCATACCACTGCTGCCAAGGTGCTTCAGCATGTCAAGTTGGGGTTCCCTCATTAACGGCCTCGCTTACTGGCAGAGGGGTGCAGAATCAAGCCTTTCCATCCACAGAGCTGGTTGATAGATGAATTGCTGCCGTTTCCCCACTGACTGGCCCTGCTGGGTCTGTCCCAACAGTGGCAAGGGTATATACATAGAAGGCTACCATGGTGGCTGCAGGGATGAAATGCAAATATAAAGCCCCCTCTTTGGTGTCCGTTCCTGTATTTCCTGCATCTGGCTGCAGTAGCAGCATGCACTAAAGCCATTATTGAGGAAAGCCAGTCATTCAGCAGCATCCTGAAGCAGAAGGTCGGTGACAGGGTTTTGGGTTTTCAAGATTTGACAGACAAATACCTGAGCATCATTACAAAACACTATCTCATTCAATTATTTATGTAGCTGGCTTAAACTGAGTAGTGAAACAAAAGATGTTTCACATCTGTTGAGCAGATATATTCCACTGGAGACGATATAAAGTTGTCCTGATGACATCAGAGCTTTGAAATATAGTTGATCTCAAATGTAAAAGAATACAGGAATGTTGCTTTCATGTCATGCTTGGAGAAGTAGAACCACAGCAAGATCAAAGGCAATATCAGAAATGTCAGGTAAGAGGTCAAGGCATTTGGGAATGGTTCTGTGGAAGCAGTAGCATGGAAGATAGCTTTCAGGCCAACACAGTGTGCAGGAAAAATGTGCTCAATACTTCACTGGAGCATGTTGTTTATCTGAAATGTACTTAATATGAAATGCTCTGTATTATATATTGCAGGATGGGGGCGTGGAGTGGGAATAAATGGTCCCTGTGTCAAGGTCTGGCAGTGTAGGGCCATGACAGAGAAATGAATGGCCAAGTGGGAAGGGGAGAGTATAGTGTACATACCCTAACACTGCACTATTTTCTTTTCTGCCTTAAGAATCCAGAGATAAGTTGTAAGCCCAGATTGGAAAGCTGTTTCTTTGTGGAGGCTGAGAGGGAAGTCTTATATGTGAGCAGTGTTAAGCAAACAAGATAACCATACTAAAGAACAAAA